CCCTCTTCTTCTTCTTCTTTCGGCTGCTCTTCACCTACCCACACCATTTTATGTACCAGTGAGAGAGTATGTGTGAAGTTAAGTTATGACCAATTGACCAGTGAATACAGAGTACAATGATGTACAGTGGTTACAGCCAGTTATGAATCTTTGCACATCGTGATAGACGGCGTCCAACATCTGCAGGATGCTTGTAGGAGTGTTCATGTAAATGTAATGTCACCGTAGTCAATGGAGGGAAGGAAAGTAGCAGTTACAAGGCATTTCTTAGCATTCAGTTATACAGGATCTATTACTGAAAAGTAAACCCAGTTTTACTTTCAGTTTCTTTACCAAGTTTTTGACATGAGGCTTAAAAGAGAGATGTGCGTCGACCAAAATTCCCAAGTATTTGTAAGAATCAACAAACTCAGTAGGAGCACCATTAATAGAAAAGATAAAAGGAAGGACTGCTGGCACTAACTTCCTGTTTGAAAAAAACATCCCTTTGGTTTTATCAGCGTTTAGCACCAGTTTGAGATGGAACATATCTGACTGGATGATCTCAAATGTAGACTGTAAAAACTGGAAAACCTTAGCAACTGATTTAAGCTCGACAATAAACTGTCGTCAGCATAGAAATGTAACGATGCATCAGGAATGATCTGACCAACATTATTTATGCAGATTGTGAAGAGGGTGGGACCTAAGACTGAGTCTTGTGGTACACCATTATTGACAGTTAAATAGCTGGAAGAAGTACCGTTATGTTTAACGCGTTGCCTTTGATCTGAGAGGTAATTAGAAAACCAACTGTTCTTTCTTGTGTTCTCTGTTCAATTCCAGTCCAGAAAAACACTCATCTCAAAAACTACAAACATCAACTATTCAAATCGCTCAGAGACGGGGGACATTGTTGTACCGCTTGTTTGTTTGTTTTGTGCATTTTTGTAAAGTTTTACTGTACACTTAAAATAAATGTAATTAAAAGAAAAAATGTCTGAAAATGTTAACATTTGTTCATTGAGGATAAATCAAGTTTATTTCAGAATAATGTGTAGTAAGTTGACATTCGGTGACATTCTTTGCTGAAACAGCCGGACCTGTTTGTGGTCTTGTGTGAAACCTCGGCATGGCCTTCATCTCTGTTAATAACAGTTAATAACGTTTCTCTGCAGCACGTTTCCAGGTGGAGGTGTGCGCTCTAATGTCTGGGAAACTCAAACTGAGCACTTGGAAGGTTCAGCTTGCAGTTCTACAGGCCATGAAGGCATATTTCCAGGAGTAAGAAACAGAGTCTTTCTTAATCCTAACCCTTTGGTTTTCAGCTGAATAAAGACCATTGTTGGTTTTTCTTACAGTTTATTGCTGCTGGAGAAAGGAAGTGAAGACCCAGATGCATTATCACAGATCCTCACAGAGACGTGTGCTGCTCTCACATGTCCTTTGGGTAACGACCTGCTATGTTAAATGATATAATCTGCGCACCATACACCACAGTAAATGTGAATTTGTTTTTCTGCAGAAAACAAAAGTTACTCGTCGGTGCGAACAGAATCCTTATCTGTTGTGGATCTGATTGTGAAGCGAACAGGAGGTGGGTTTTTATTGTTACTGCTCTTGTTGTCTAGTCTGCTATAAGTTTATACTATTTGAGGAAATGTCTGTAGACTTACGTTCCTTAATGTTCAGACATTAGGAGGACATTTATCCAACAGATGGGGGCGTGTTTGGTTGCTCCTAGTGTTTTTAACAAATGCTTGCCGTCACCTGATGCAGTTGTTAGACTTGGTTTGTCTTTCACTGGTAAACCTTGTGGGACGTAAACAAAATACTGAACTTGAGATTCAAACTTTCTTTCTGCTCTGACATGTTGCAAGACAGGCTGAGGTTAGAACCAGAAGAAGGTCTCAACTAGATGTGAGACCGGTCAGGAACAGCGTAATCTGTAACCCAGAATAACTGTTGGGAACTAAACTTTACGTTAAAAATTAACAACCTTTTGTTTTCTGCATGTTTGGATTCCTCTAATTAAATTTTCTGTTGTTGGTCACTGACAAATTAAAATGACACATTTTGAACTATCAGACAGCACAAGAGCAGGGTTTGAGTATTCATAAATATTGCAAGTATTTTTCTTTGATTTGACCTGAAGAGTTCAGTCTAACAGCTGTTAGCCTCTAGGCAGCTGAATGAAGTACACAGACCTGTCAGCATACTATCACCATCGTGTTTGTGTGTCTCATGAACCACTGCAGATACAGTTGCACTACAACTCACTCCGTTGGTGTGGTAGTTAGGCCTGTCGCAATAAACAATAAATCAATTAATTGCATGATAAATTAAAATTATCAACCTCATTTTCATTTATCGGTTTTATCGTTTCTTCGTGTCTCTCTTTCTACTGAAGACACTGGATGACAAAACACTCAACTCTGGTGATCTTCACTGACCCCTCCCTTTATTTTTTCTCTTTAAAATCCATTATAACTGTTCAAAATCACATTTTTGGATCGTTAAAAGCAGCGAAGCTGAGAAGCTAAGCTACGAGCTAAGCTAACAGGCCGCCCTGAGGGGAAAAAAACGTCTTGTCGAAGCTCCAAAATTCACAGTTGAAACCCGTGTCTTCATCTAAAAAGTTGTTTTTCTCTGCAAAAAGAAGCTGAGAACTTGTTTACCGATTGTTTATTAAAAGCTTTGCGTGACAAATGCTATGCTAAAGAGCTCAAACCACACTGAGCATCTGCCATTTTGAGAACCAAAGAGAGACAGCCCATGTCATGTCAAAGGGCCTCCCTCCCATTTTTCTTAGAGACAAGCTGCTCGCTCCCTCACTATCCATCCTTCGGTTCAAACAGTCTTATACTGCCATCCGGTGGTTGAAAAAAAGGTACCACACACAAAACGAAACATTTCTTAAATTTGACAATAATTACTAATTGTTGTCAAATTTCAAACAATATTATCATTTATCGCAATAATATTTGAGACAATCGCCCAGCAAAATGTGTTATTGTGACAGGCCTAGTGGTAGTAGCTGATAATCATCCACAACATTCTAAGAGAGAACTGATCTTAAATTCAAACTTTTCCATTCACTGTTGGAGTCAGCTGTTTTATAAAAATATATGCGCTCCTGTAGCTCATTCATATCTGACTGTCTAACTTTACCGTACCAAATGTTTTGCACATAAATATCTGTCGGCTGAAGTTTCTGACGAGATGCTGTTGTGCGTGTGGTTCTGCCAGAGAGCGAGCAGTGGGACTGCATGTCCATGAAGAGCCGGGAGCAGCTGCAGCGCTCCCTGTCCACGCTGCAGTCCGACAGCAGGCCCGACCTGAGGGACAAGGCCCAGGAGCTGCGCAGACGCATCCAAAGCCAACCCTGAGGGGGCGCCGCTCGGAAAGACGGGACAGCATCCTCATTGAAACGCCTTTGATCAGCTACACTCCCTCTTTGTCTTATAATAACTAATATTCATAAATCTGCCAATCGTTGCATCAAGTATTCATATCGTCGTGAGCTGTGGTGCAGCCTTGCACATGACGCTCGCTCGGGTCGAGCGGAGTGAATAACTGTTAACGACTTAAATTAATTTTTGGCTCATTTCAATGGACAGTGAGTTGATGTTGAATGCTGCGTAAACCGGTGTGTGGGGTTTGTAATGGCTAATAGACCCAAAATGGGGATTTTTTACTACTGTTGTGGGTTTGCCAACTCGTTATCAAGACAGCCAGTTGTAGCTGAAGCTGGAAACCTCAGGCCTCTGCAGATTAGTGGGGAGGCAAAGAAAGCTCGACTGTCATCACTGGTTTGGTGGTGAGCAGGACATCAGCCAGTCTGAGGTACAAAAAAACACCTGCTGTTAACTTTAAAGTGATCCTAGTTGTTTGAATTTCTCCTTCATAAAATAAATATTGATTCGGACAAACGATTTTTTTATTTTCTCTCCTCTGCAGAATGGTTTTACATGAAATGTTTTCATGTTTGCGTGGGATCTCTGGTAAAACTGGCATTTATATGTTGTGAAAACTTGTAACGCAAATAATGGAAACCAATGGGATTTTGGTAGACCACATACGAAAACCCAGCTCTGTACCTCCAGGTTACTTCACGGTAGAAATATTCAAACTTTAAATTGATCACAGAAAGTCAAAAATTGCATGTCTAAACTGGAATTGATATTTTTACTGCATTTTCACCGTTCTTTGAAGTTTTTATTTCAGATTTTTCCACAAAATGTTCAGCCCACTGTTAACTTTTGAGATGTCTTAAAATGTTCAAGTATTTTGCAACCGAACACTTCACTGCTACACTCATCTGTAATGCATATACTATTATACATCAAAATATGGGGCATTTGTCTTTAATCCAGTGTGTTCCTCTGCTGCACGACATGGTTTTCTGTCAAATCCCCCAGAATTCAAACTATTGTAGGATTTTAGCTCAAATTTCTCAAGACTGGAAGTAAAAGGTTTGTTTTAAATTGATCACATCCCACAAAATACTTTTATAAACAATCACATCTGTGACATCACTGTCCTGCTGCTCACAGTTCAAAAAGTTATAAATGGTTAATTAACAATTAATGGCTTTGTTGTTTGTTATAAATGGTTAGTTTTTAGACTCCAGAGGTGCATGCACTGCTGAGGGCCAGAGACTCCACTTTCAAAGCAGGTGACCAGTCGGTTCTGAGACTGTGAGGGCCAAGCTGTCCCAGGGAATCTGAGAACAAAGTGCGCACTCCGCCAGAATAGCAGTGACACACGGCATGTGGCAGGGTGCCCAGGCCATCGCCATCTACAGGACTACACCTTCCAGACGCACTGAACCACTTCTATGCTTGGTTTGAGGTGCGAGAACAACACAGTGGCGAGGAAGACCATCCGCCTTCGCGACGACCAGATGCTTCGTCTGACCGCAGCGGATATGAGGACATTATGCAGTCAACTCACTGAAAGCTGCTGGACCAGACAACACTCCTGGCAGAGTGCTCAAAGAATGTGCAGACCAACTGGCAGGTGTTAGCTCAGATAACTTTAACATCTCTGAGCATTGACGTCATCCCAACATGTTTCAAGACGACCATCATTTCTGTGTCAAATAAATCATCAGTGAATGCTTCAATGACTATCATCCCATAGCACTCCTATCACCATGAAGTGCTTCGAGATGCAGCACTCATCATGCAGCGTATGATCTACTGCAGTTTGTGTACTGTCCTAATCGCTCAACGGATGATGCCATAGTCGCCACACCACCTGAGTTCCACACATAGACTTTAGCTCAGCATTCAGCAACTTCATTGCTGAGCATGCTGGGCACTACTCTCTGCAAGTGAATCCTGGACTTCCTGACTGGGAGACCTCAGACTGTCCAGATAGGAAAGAACACCTCCATCACCACCACACTGAGCACTGGAGCTCCCCAGGGCTGTGTGCTCAGTCCACTGCTGTTTACTCTGCTTAATCATGACTGAACGGCAATGCACAGCTTGAATCCATCATGAAGTTTGCAGATGACATGACTGTGTTGGGACTTATCAGCAATAACAATGAGTCAGCATACAGAGGAGGTGCAACGGCTAACGAACTGGTGCAAAGTCAACATCCGGTCTTTGAATGTTGACAAAACCAAAGAGATGGTCATTGACTTTAGGAAAACACCAAGGGATCATCCCCACTGAACATCGACGGCTCCTCCATGGAGATCAACAGCACCAAATTACTTGTTCACCTGACGGAGGATCTCACCCGGACCCTTAACACCAGCAGCAGTGTCGCCAAGAAAGCCCAGCAGCATCTCTTTCTGAGGAGATTGAAGAAAGCTCATCTGCCACCTCCCATCCGCACCACCTTCTACAGGAGAACTATTGAGAGCATCCTGAGCAACTGCATCACTGTTTTGTTTGGGAATTACACTGCATCGGCTCGCAACTCCCTTCAACCAATAGTAAAGACGTCTGAAAAGATCATCAGGGTCTCTCTTCCAGCTCTCATGGACATTTTCAACAGCTGCTGCATCTGGAAAGCTCTCAGCATTGTAGTGGACCCGTCTCACCCATCACTTTTTCCTCTCCTGCCCTCTGGAAGAAGGTACGAACCATTTGAGCCAACACAACCAGACTGTGGAACAGCTTCATTCCACAAGTCATCGGACCATACACCTACTCAGTTTAAATCTCTGCCACTATAAAAATAAAAAAAAACATAAACTGTCTCACACCTAGGGACAATTTGTTAGTTATCAATCAGACTAACATGCATGTTTTTGGTCTGTGGGAGGAATTTGGAGTGCCCAAACAAAACCCACGCATGCACGGAGAGAACATGCAAACTCCTCCGAGATAAAGTCCCGGGCCAGGATTTGATCCAGCGACGTTCTCGCTGAGAGGTAACAGCCCTACCAATTGAACCCCCGTGACACCCTAGACATTTCATTTTATTCTTAGCTTTGATCATAACGTTACAATTTTTTTTGAAGCAACACAGGCTTGTGGTAGCCCTTTAAATTGGCAAAACATTTTTACAAATCGACAGGAATGGATCAAAGCAACAACCAAAATAATGTTTTAACTTTTTTATTTATTTACAAAAACATCAATCCATCAGCTGCATATATAAAAACAAAGAAATCCAAACAAAGGACAACATAGACAAGAGAATGGGACTGAAAAGGGTTCCAAGATCCAGACATGACATGATGCAGACGTGTTATAGAGTAAGAAGCAATGACTAATAAACATGAGTACAAGTTACAATTAGATGCTGCATTTGACAATAACTGATGTAAATTGTTGAAAAGAAAGTCGGACATGATTGTCCTGATCAGCTGGTCACTTGTTTGATCCTCTTGTTTTTTTGACGAGCCTTGTCTTGGCTCTTCTGAGGAAGGTTAGCATCACTCTGGCTGAGCGCAGTCCGGCTCACCGTGGACATGCCGTCAACAAACTTGGTGTTAAACAGGACGTTGGCGTTGGTGAACATGCCCTCTTTGAGTGACACCACCACAAACTAAAAGAAAAGTAGAATTAATCCATCCGCTTTAAAAACAGATCAACTTTTACTAAGCGTATGTTTGATCCTACCTGTGAGTGTCTGAAATGTGTGCGCAACATCTGCCCGATGTTTTGCGTGTGCGACAGGTCAAGAGCAGCGTCCACCTCGTCTAGGATGTAGATGGGAGCGGGTTTGAAGAGCAGCATGGCCAGGATGAGAGACAAAGCCACGAGAGACCTGAAAACAAAGATACAAGACAAGAAAACAGACAGCTGTGTTCATGTTTGCAGAGGATGGTGGGATCTGTAGTGAAGGTAGGACGCAGGTGGAAGAGAGTCCAGAGAGGTGGAGGTAAGTGAGTATAAGAGCCAGACAGAATCCATGTGTGTAAATGAAAAGGAAACCTTGGATAAATGAAGAAAAAATAAAACTTAGGAGGCAAATGTTTTGAAATTAGTTGTTATAATTATTCAAACTTGCACTTTGAAAGAACATGGTGCTATGCTAAGCTCTTTTTTTTTTCTATCTAGAAGTACCGTATTTTCCGCCCTATAAGTCGCACTTTTTTGCATAATTTACCGTTATAATTTACTGCAACTTATAGGCCGAAGCGATATATTTATGGATTTTTTCCCATATTTATAAACCAATTTTTGGCTGAGATATGACTGTTTTCAGTCATTCTGACGGAAAACAAAAAAAAAGAAGGGCAGTACCACTTTCAGCCACTTGATGGCAGCAAAGAAGAAGTAGCAGTATGGCATGCCATTGTAATGTAATAGGTAAACGTGGCTATAATGACAAATTCAAAAAAGTTCAAGACAAAAACAACTGGACATTATTTATTATACTTTATTATTTTTGTCTTGAACTTTTTTGAATTTACCATGTCCTAGATGACCGAGAATCTTCACCAGCTATTAATGACACAATCGGCTTGCCATAATCTCCCCACCTTCATTCTGTTCGCTGCTTGGAACCATCAAACCAGCTGCACTGCCCTGGCGAAATTCAGCTGATTTGACCATTAAAGTGCATTTATTAAGCAAACGTTAGACTGAGACACACCTTTACTATAATTTCGAGCAAACAAATAATTGTTTTTAGGTGTTAACTGTTAATCTTGTTAAATTCTTGTTAAAGTCCTCACGTGCACGCTCCCACAGCCACCATTTGGCAGCCCATTGATTTTTGGCACAACACCGGCCCACACTTCCGGGTTGTCAGCGGTGACGCATAATAAATGCGACGTATACAGCGAAGCGACATATTTATGGATTTCTCCACTTTATTAGACAAATATGAACCGAAGCCACTTAAAGGGCAGAGCGACGTGTACGGCGGTAAATACTTGTCTAAGACACCATAATTGCACCAAAACCTCTTGCTCTCTTGAGTGAATTGCTATAAATATTATAAACCTGTACTTCTCTAAGCCTAGAGCGTGATCCATGACTATGGTCACAGTACTTGTTTTTTTTAAAGTAAAATAAAAACTATTTCTAAGAGCTTCAGAGCTGATGTCAAAGTATGCAGCAGGCTCAAGGTCTTACTGTGTGGCTTTAAATGACGTGAGTGGGCATGTTTGTAAATCGTTATGAGTTTGTTAAATATCTGTTTTTATTGATGTTGGATGTTTTATTATTTATTTGTGGTTGGGGAAACAAGGCTGAGATGGTTTGGACACGTGCAGAGGAAATAAATGAGTCATGTAAATGAGTCCCCGAGGCTCAGTGGGATTAACCTGTGCAAATAAAGGTTGAATGAATGAATGAAAAGAGGAGAAATGTGGGCTATATTGGACCAAAGACGATGAATATGGAGCGGCCAGGCAGGACGAAAAGAGGAAGACCACTGAAGAGGTTCGTGGATGTGATGGAGAGTTGGTGGGATGGATGGGGATGAACTGGTGCACAGCTAAAAGAAGAATAAAGTGTTTTTCTGACCTTTGTCCACCACTGAGCTCCGTGAGGTTCTCCTTCCAGGTGTCACCCAAAGCTACTTTGAACTCAAGGCCGTCCAGGACCCCACAGCCCTGAGGAGGGGCCAGCTTCGCTGTGGCCCCGGGCAGGAGAGTGGAGAAAATGGAGCCGAAGTCCTTGTTCACCTGCAGGGTGGGAGCTGATTTTAGAATGATCCAAAGCCAGAAGGAAGGACGTTAAATCTGACTAAACCTCACTACGTTAGGACAAGGTTGGTCTAACTTTAATATTCAGCAGCTGACCTTCTGCCAGGCCACGTTCAGAGCCTCATTCTTCTTCTGGTCCAACTCCTCAATGGTCTGCAAGATCTTAGCTTTGTCGTTCTCCACAATCCTCTTCTTCTTCATCAGGTCGTTGTACTGGGGGAGAACCAGGGTTCATGCGAGTCGGTTAAAGGATCCGTGAGCGTTCTGAGCTACAGGAGCGGTTTGTGAAACCCTCACCCTCTCCTCAGCCTCGTTCAGCATGTTCATGGCCTTCTTGTTGACGTTCCTCTCCAGCTTGGTGGTGGTTTCCTCCAGCTTCTTCAGACGCTGGCCCGCCTCGCGGGGGTTGTTTGTCTTGAAGTCGTAGGAGGTGTTCGGCTGGCCGAAGAACTGACGCTCTGAATGGATCCAGTCGTGCTCCTCCAGCATCTGAGTCACCTGGAAAATACGGACGTTGATGAACGAACGACGTTACGCCTGCTCAACGATACGGAAGAAAAACGAAGCTCGCAATCCAGTCCTGGTTTGTGCATACCTTATCAGCAGCGTCCTGACTCTCTTTGTGGTGCTTACTGATGTTGTGTTCACACTCCTTGATCTTTAGCTGGACTTTATTGTTCTGCTCCCTCATCTTATTCACCTCACTGCTTTTCTCCTGGAGAGATCACAGGACAAAAACAATTTCATAAACCACATTTTCTCCCCTCAGACAGCACACTTATTACAATAGTTCTACTCCAGATACCAAAACACGTGAAACTTTTTACAGTTTTATGCCTACAGTCTAATAAACAAAATACAAATGGCTCCAAGAAAGATCTACGTCTGCAGTTTATGAGTAAAATCAACGGCTCACCTTGAGCTCTTTGTCATGAGTCATGATCTTTTCCTTCTGCTTGGCCAGTTCCTCCTGGGCTTTACGCACCGCTTCCTACATCACATCGTAAAGAAAGAAAAACTGGATTGTACCCTTCAAGTGCAATAACTTTATGAAATGGTACCTTTTAAGTATTCGCAGAGATAAATCAAGTTTCTTCCATTAAACAGCTAAATAAAAAAAAATACCTTTATGATAAAGAACTGCACGCAGTCAAAGTAACAAACACTGAATGACATGATGCGCAGCGTCCAAGTGAAAATGTTTTTGCCCGTCTCTGGCTGTTTGCATGTCTCTTAATAAAATATCATGAACCAGCAGACAGATTTTGATGAAACTCTCAGAAAGGACTCCTCTACATCTGAGTCACTGTTAGAGTCAACTTGATTCCAGCTAGTCAACCGTACGTACAAATGGCTATAAGCGTTAGTTTCACAAGTAATTAGATTTATTTTGGTGTGGTAGTAGCTGAGAGGTTTCCCAACACACACGCTGAACGCTAACAGATCGTGATCTTCGTTTGAAACGTTGGCATGCCAGAGGAAGGGCGAGATGCTTCCTTTCAAGGAATGTTACCTTTGTTTGCAAGTAGGCCTGTCACGATAACAAATTTTGTTGGGTGATTTATTTAATTAATTGTCTCAGAAATTATTACGATAAACGATAATATTGTTTGAAATTTGACAATAATTGGTAATTATTGTCAAATTTAAGAAGAAATGTTGGTTAATTTTATTGTGTGTGTAGTACCGTTTTTGACCACTGGATGACAGTATAAGACTGTTTGAACCAAAGGATGGATAGTGAGGGAGTGAGCAGTGTGTCTCTAAGAAAAATGGGAGGGAGGCCCCTTGACGTGACATGGGCTGTCTCTCTTTGGTTCTCAAAATGGCGGACGCTCGGTGTGGTTTCAGCTCTTTAGCATAGCATTTTTCACTCAAAGCTTTTAATAAACAGTCAGTAAACAAGTTCTCAGCTTCTTTTTGCAGAGAAAACAACTTTTTACACGAAGGAACGGGTTTCAACCGTGAATTTTGGAGCTTTGACAAGACAGAGGCTTTCCCCCCACCAAGGTCGGCCTGTTAGCTTAGCTCGTAACTTAGCTTCTCCAAAAACACAATTTTGGATGGTTAAAACATATTTTAAAGAGAAAAGAGAAAGGGAGGGGTCAGTGAAGAGCACCGGAGTTGAGCCTTTTGTCATCCAGTGTCTTCAGTAGAAAGAGAGACATGAAGAGAGGATAAAGCTGATAAATGAAAATGAGGTTGATAATTTTCATTTATCATGTAATTAACTGATTTATTGTTTATTGTGACAGGCTTATTTGCAAGTTAACACATTTTTTAAATTTAATCACTAAATAATTATGTTTAAAGTAATCTTTTTGATGATTTACCCCCATGCAAACCTTGTTTTCTGATAATATCACCTTGCCTTTACATTGATGATCTAAAGGCCCCCCACATACTCGGGCGTACTGCGTGTACTCCATGAGCCGCGCACTGTCCACAGACTGTAGAGACTTCATACTTGAGCGTTCACCCTGGTGGGCTGCAGCCCAGCTCTGCAGGTAAAGGGCGTTTACCTTCTGGACAAATTGAGGTTGCCGATTGGTCATTAGCTGACATGCCCACTGGACTGATTGACAGGTCGTGTCGCAGATCCGACTCGTGGAAGAAAAAAAAAAAAAACGAGAGCTGCTGGCGGCCCTGGGTAGAGGCAGCTGGCAGCCCAGCCTCCACGGGGTGAGGTACGGCCGAGTATGTGGGGACCTTAAAAGCAGAGTTGCGTATTGCACATGACTGACTCCACCCCCCCACACACCTACCTTGTTTATAGACATGGTAGAAGCTACACTGTCTATCTGCTCCTGGATGGCCTTCATGGCCTCATCCACAGCCTGAATTTGCTGTTCGTAGCCCGCTTGCTCCCTCCGCATCTCCTCCAGCTCCAGAGCCAGAGCTTCAGAGTCCTGAACACAGCAGGAAGAACAGCGTTCTTCTTAAACACTCCATCAGAGAGAAAAGGAGTTTCAACAACTTGAATTTGACAGAAAAGATAAAACATGTAAAAGATGATGTAAGATGAGGGAGAGACTTTGAAAAGTCTTTCTCAGTGAGGTCAAAGGTCATCGTACCTGCTGCTTCTGCTTGAACTTCTTATTGAAGGCGTCAGCTTTGGCCTTGGCTGCGCTGAGTTTCTGCTGGGCGGCCTTCAGCTCCTTCTCCCTCTCGGCCTCAGCGTTCTTCATTTTGTTCTCCAGCACCTTATATTTCTCACCCGCTCGCTTCTGAACCTCCGTGGTGACGCGCAGCGTCTCCTCACTGTCCTCTGCTCAGACAAACACACCACAGTGTTTCAAAGATCCAGCATTAGCTGAAGGAACGCATGCTGCCCGCCACCTTTGATGTCGGAGCTAAAGACGTGCTCATGTTTATGAGATGTGCCAGGCTCTCAGAGCAGGTGTTGGGGATGACGCTTAGCTACTACCACACCAAATCTCAGCTCAACATCTGCAGAACAGCTGAGATTGGATCATTTTGTGTTTCCAAAGGAAAACAAAGTCACCAAAACATAATCAGTCGTAGATGTACATGTGATGGTTACTTTCTAAAAGTTTCAATTAAAATACGTCCACTGGTTCGTGACTTTTTTTTGCCAACAAGACGAAAGCATCACTGTCCTGCTGCAGTTGGTTGCAGGCGATAAAAACAAATGAGATCCGTACAACGTGTAAACAACAACAACGCCCGACGTGCTCCCACGGTGTGAACAGACTGGGCTTTGTCTGACCGATTGCTTTGCGCAGCCTGTCCAGCTCCTCCTGCTGCTGGTGGAACGAGCTCTGCTGCACTTTAGCCTGCAGGATCTGCTCCTCCTCCACCTTCAGCTCATACTGCTGCTTCAGCTGGTGGTACCTGCAGCGAGAGGAGACAGACGAGGACCATCAAGGAGAAAGAAGCAAGGTTTCTGCTGTGATGTGGCAGCATCATGGAAGCAGACAGGAAACGGTCAGATATGTTGTTTATCGTACTGGTCAGGCTTCGCTGCAGAGCTTTAAAACAATACTTGAACTATTGATAATTACTGATAACATCATATTTCCATGCTGCACATGAGAGGTAAAATAATCCTGTACTTCTCAGTGGTTCCTTTAAGGCCAGCCAGCTGTTTTTCGATGTGCTGCAGCTGAGCTTCCTTATTGGTCAGATTGTCCTGGACGTCCTTCACCTCCTGCAGGCTGGACAGAATGGATGCGGACTGGGAGCGAGCCCCTGGACGAGAACAACGAAGAGTTCCTCTCTGAGCACTCGTGTGCCACGACTGATTTTAATTCACTTGATGCAGGCAAATTAAGACATTTAGAAACGTACAACGGTTTATATATTCTCACCTCCACTCAGAGTTCCCTGCGGGTCGAAGATGTCCCCTCCTAGAGTGACAGTCTTGGTCATCACCTGCTTATCAAAAGCCACTTTTTTGGCGTTGTCCAGGGTGTCACAAACCAGAGTGGAGCCGAACACGTACTCCATGGCTTTGCGCAGGTCTGATTCATAGCCGACCAGGGACAGAGCTGTGTGAGCGTTGTCCTCTCCAACCTGACAGAAAAAGAAAAGAGAATTACGTGCTCGCAGCCATCTCAACAGAAATGTCCTGATTAAAAAACACTAGCTGCCCCTCACCAAAGTCTTTGCAGCATTGACCACTTTGTCGTTGAGCGTCTTGGCAGAGATCTTGTTCAGGGGAATGATGGTGTACCGTCGCTGCAGCTCGCCCTTCTCCAGCAGCTTTTTACCCGTCACCTGAGGAAGACGTCACGTCAGGTGTACATGGCCGGAGGAGGAGGAACACACCGTGCCTGCTGCTTATCGCCACACCTACCTCCGTGTCGACCACGATGTTGTAGAGCCGCCCGCCAGCAACGACCTCCAGTGCTGTGGAGTAAGTGACGTCACTGACTGTGATCAGGTTGGCAAGGAGCCCCTTCACTTTGCTGCGGTCCCACCCTCGCTCAGGGTCCCTGGTACACAAACACATGTTAAACACCAACGACGGCTCGCCCTAACCTCAGGTTAGAGCTGAGACGGGAGCTTAAGATCAGTTAATTAAAGTGTCCAACATCTTTGTTTTCAATCAAACAAACAAAAAGTTAAAATTATTTCCTTCCGTTTTATTAAACGCAGCCTCAGCTGTAGGCCTGTCACGATAACAAATTTTGCTGGGCGATAAATTGTCACAGAAATTATTGCGATAAATGATAATATTGTTTGAAATTTGACAATAATTAGTAATAACTGTTAAATTTAAGAAGAAATATTGGTTAATTTTTGCATGTAGTACCTTATTTGACCACCGGATAAGACTGAACTGAAGGATGGACAGTGAGGGAGCGAGCAGCGTCTCTATAAGAACAATGGGGGAGGCCCCTTGACGTGACATGGGCTGTCTCTCGTCGTCGTTCCCTGATGTGTTACGAAAGCACGATCTGTAGTGTAGCTCATTTGGGCATGCGCTAAAAAGAATACTTCCGGGTCGCATGGATCGCCGTTGAATATGCTAAATTAAGGAAAATATACTGGTATAATTCCATTTATGAATAAGAACTTCTTAATTACTTAGAAAAATATGTGCTCTATCTCGGCCGATTTTCATGTTGCTAATTTACGCCACTCGTATTTCCGTTAAAATCGTTGACATATTTACGTCATGGTTAAAATGATATGCAGCTTCAACACTGACCGGTGCCGTTTCACCAGGGAAATAATTCATTCTGTATCTTGAAGGGTTTTTCCTCATTCAGCCCAGGCTGGGGGTCAGGTCTAATGCGTCATATATCATCATAACCAATGATGTGTAACAGAAATACGAGTGGCGCAAATTAGCTACATGAAGATTAGTGGAGACAGAGCACATACTCTAAAAAAATTAAGACAGTTTTTATTCATAAACAACGGCAAGCAGTGCGACCTGGAAGTACACTACAGATCGTGCTTCTGAAACAGCTCGGGGAATGACAGCCGTTCCTGTATTTTGGTTCTAAAAACGCCGGACACTCTGTGAGACAAATGCTATGCTAAAGAGCTCAAACCACAAAGATTTTGATTTTTTTTTTAAATCAGTAAACAAGTTCTCAGCTTCTTTTTGCAGAGAAAAACAACTTTTTAGACAAAGGCACGAGTTTCAACCGTGAATTTTGGAGCTTCGACAAGACGGAGGTTTTTTTCCAAGTTTGGCCTGTTAGCTTAGCTCGTAGCTTATCTTCTCAGTCAGCTTAGCTGCTTTTAACGATACAAAAACTCAGTTTTAAACAGTTAAAACAGATTTTAAAGAGAAAAAATAAAGGGAGGGGTCAGTGAAAGCACCGGAGTTGAGCCTTTTGTCATCCAGCGTCTTCAGTAGAAAGAGACAGAAAGAAATGATAAAGCTGATCAATGAAAATGAGGTTGATCATTTTCATTTATCATACGATTAATTGATTTATTGTTTATCACGACAGACCTACTCATCTGTCAACAACTCAAAACACTGAAACGTTACAGAGCAAAAACTGAGCGAGGCTGAAAAAGCTCTGATCATGTCAGGCTTTTGCTTGTCTGTTGTGTTAGCAAAATATCTCATGAGCCACAGGACTAAAATTGGTGAAACTCTCAGAAATTCATCACAAACTTTAGGAGCCAACCCCACTTAAGATGGCAGTCACAGCAATTCAGTTTTAGGCAACACAAAAATATCTTTAACTTAGTCATATCTGCAGATATTGAGCTAAATTTCAGTGTAGTGGTAGCTGAGAATCATTCACAGCACGTACTCTGAGCACCAACAGATCACACAACATCTTAGTTTGAATCTTTGGCAGACAGGGAATCAAGCACCAACACATCTCGCAAGATCTTCAAGTATTGCGTAAGATCAGGCTCAACCTCATTTACAAAACTTTGTCCATTCGAGTCAAAACATGATCCTGGTCTAAAACTGTGGCATAAAGATGCAGGAGACGAGTCCCAGCTCTTTAATTAGAAATAGTATTTATTTGTGCTTAAAACCCAGTTGGGTTTCGTTTATCTTCTGTTAAAACAAATGCACTTAATTTCACCAATAAGAGAAAATTATTTAGCATTTCATCCTTTGCTCTTAGGAATATTTAATTACCGTAGATCACATTCAAATCCTGATGCATGCTCAATAATCCAGGTAGATAAATCTAAAAGGTTGAGTCAGGTCCTCTGGATGGTTCCTTCTTGTTGAAACGTTTCGTCTTTTATCCAGAAGACTTCTTCAGTCTGAGGAGCTGCAACAAACTCAGTCTTATAACTAGCACCTTCTCATAGTGGATCAACCAGTTTGTGAAAGAAGGACCATCAGCCTAACAATGGATCATCAGCACACTGATGGCTGTTTACTGTTCACAGAGGGCTGAGTGATACTAGCAATCACAGCATTGTAAGAGGGGGACAGTTGAACCCGGAGGCCTCCACCCCTGTTTAAGGATGGACGGTTTCTTTTCACAAAGATGGCCTCCTTTACTCCTCTCTCAAACCATCGTTCCTCTCTGTCCAGGATGTGAACATCTTCATCCCTGAAAGAGTGACCGCTGGCCTGGAGATGAGTGTAGACCGCAGAGTCCTGGCCTGATGATGTTGATCTTCTGTGCTGGTCCATCCTTTTGGCCAGTGGCTGTTTAGTTTCCCCGATGTAAGACTGATCACCCTCCTGACACTGAACAGCATACACAACATTACTCTGTTTGTGCCGGGGGACTGGATCTTTGGGATGAACCAGTCTTTGCCGTAATGTATTTTGGGGTTTAAAAGCCACTGGGACGTTATGTTTAGAAAATAAACGTCTCAGTTTCTCTGATACTCCCTCAACATG